ATGGGACTATTAGGGGAAGCGGTTCCCTTTACCTAGGTAATAAAAATCTGTGGGGGTGGGAAAATAACTCAAGTGGTAGAGTACAGGTCCAGCATGTATGAGACCCTGGGTTCTATCCCCAGCACTATGACACCAGAAGAACTGACAAGAGTGGTCCCCCACTCTTGTCAAGACTCTTGTCAGTTCTTCTGGTGTCATAGTGCTGGGGATAGAACTCAGGTAGGGTATTTGCCTTGCAAGCAGCCAACCCAGGTTTGATCCAAGGCATCCTATAAGGTCCACTAAGAACCACTAGGAGTAATTCCTGTGCAGAGCCAGAAATAAGCCCTAAGCATTGCAGGGTGTGCTCTAAAAACAAATGAACAAACACCCCCCCCCCCAAAAAAAAGTGTCTTACTGGAGAGATAATGCAGTGCATAAGGCACTTGCCTTGTATGCCATTAACCCAGGTTCAATCCCAGGCATCCCATATGGTCCCCCAAGCCTGCCAGGAGTGATCCCTGAGTACCCAGCTAGGAGTAAGCTGGGTGTGCCCCCCGGCCCCACAAAAGATTGGTCTTGAGTGGTTTCTGTATAAACAAACTTTGGCTGAAGCAGTAGTGCAGTGTATATGGCACTTCTTTGCATTGAACTGACCTTGATTCAATTCCCAGTGTCATATATGGACCCTGAGCCCTGCCAGGAGTGATCACTAAGCACAGAATCAGGAGTCAGCCCTGAGCATTACCAAGTGTGACCCGTCTAAAACAAAATAAATTTATACAAAAAAATAAATAAATACAAATAATCTTTTAGGGGGAGAGAGAGAGAGAGAGAGAGAGAGAGAGAGAGAGAGAGAGAGAGAGAGAGAGAGAGAACTCAGCAACCTAACTGCAAGCGCAAGCAATGCAAGCAGGAGGGTCTGGGTTGGAGCTCTGGCCTCACAGAGTCCCCCGAGCACTGTTAATGGAGGAATAACCTCTTGAGCACAGAGCTGGGAATAGCCCCTGAGCATGACTGAGTATAGTCCTTAAGCTGCCCTCTCGCAAATAAAATAAAAATAAACAAATAAAAGCAATCTTTTAGGAGGAAATAGGCTTTCTGATTTTCGAAGTCAGTATTTGGCAGATAGGGTGCAGTGGGGAGAGTGTATTTAGAGGTGGGCTGCTGGGCGTCCTGCCATCCCGCAGGTTTTCTGGGAGTGTCAAAGGAATGATGTAAGAGGTGCTGGGAGATCACAGACATGAGAGCTTTGCATAAATTAGAAAGGGTTCAAAGAAGACAGTTGCTTTAAGGACATGGGTCCACCATTCTTGTTCTCCACCCTGTCAGCAGGTTGCAATAAAGCTCTTTTTCAACCTGTCTTCAAAAAAATTTTTTGGGGTCACACCCGGGGATGCACAGGGGTTACTCCTGGCTCATGCACACAGGAATTACTCCTGGCGGTGTTTGGGGGACCATTATGGGCTGCTGGGAATCGAACCTGAGTAGGCTGCGTGCAAGGCAAATGCCCTACCCGCTGTGCTATCACTCCAGTCCCTAAAAAAAATTTTTTTTTTTTTTTGCTTTTTGGGTCACACCTGGCGATGCTCAGGGGTTACTCCTGGTTCTGCACTCAGGAATTACTCCTGGCGGTGCTCAGGGGGCCATATGGGATCCTGGGAATCGAATCTGGGTTGGCCGCGTGCAAGGCAAACTCCCTACCCACTGTGCTGTCACTCCAGCCCAAGCCCCTAAAATTTTTTTAATTAAAAAAATTAAATAAGAAATAAAAAATGAACTAGGGCTAGAAAGAAGCTGGGAGTGTGGTTCAACCATAAAGCACTGACTGACCTGCTTTATATACATGAGGCCTTGGATCCTCAGTACTGCAAAAAATTTAAAATAAAAAGGGTTGGGGCTGGAGTGATAGCACAGCAGGTAGAGCGTTTGCCTTGCACGCGGCCTACCCGGGTTCGATTCTCAGCATCTCATATGGTCCCCTGAGCACTGCCAGCAGTAATTCCTGCGTGCAGAGCCAGGAGCAACCCCTGTGCATTGCCGGGTATGACCCAAAAAGCAAAAATAAATAAATAAATAAAATAAAATAAAATAAAATAAAAAGGGTTATAAAGGAAAGAAGGGGGGTGTCCCTTGGCAGTGCTCTGAGCGCTGGGTGTTCGCCCATTTTCTTTTTCAGCGAAGAAAGCTGCTCTCCTGGCATGGTAAGTGGATAAGCAAGGGCCGGCTCTTCCAGTACCCAGTGAGGGCACAGGAGAAAGGAGGCTAGGGCATGGTCTCAGCATCTTGACCTCAGCCCCTTCCCCAGTCAATCCCTTTAGCCCAGCCAGGATCTTGGGCAGATGCTCCTCCAATGGGCTCCGAGACCCTTCCTGTCAAGACCTGAGGCAGGAGCTGATGCACATCACTGTACTCCTGGCCTGGCATCCCCACTCTCTAAACTTGTGACCCAGGAAAAATCCCATCTGTTAGGCTCCTGCTCTGCCTCCACTTCTCGCCAAGGAGCCAAGCAGTCAGTCCTGTCTGCTGTCAGCCAAACTTGTCTGTCAAACAAGCCTGTCTGCCATGGCCCCTGCCCCCACCTCAGGTTTCTGGAAGCCTCATTAGGGGTCCTGTGCCCTATCTCACCGTGCCCTCCTGGTAAACCACTGAGGCTGTCAGGGTCTGTGTGACCATGTGTGAAATATAGTTTCTGGCCTTGGCACAAAGGTCTCCTGGCGCAGAGGCAGATCAGGAAGGAGTTAACAGGCAGCCCTGAGTCAGGAAGGCAAGGGTTAATCTGGGGGGCGGGAGGGGGAGTGGAGGCGCTCAGGCCTTTTCCTGTGGAGAGTGAGGTTAGGCTGCCACTGAAGTTACTTCCAGTCCCAGCTGTCCCTGCCACCCTCAGTCTGGCCTGCCCTGGGAGCCCAGCATTCAACCTCCTCCTGTAGAGGTGAGCATCGGAGCCCAGCTCTGGGGGGCCAGCACCCAGGGAGCCAGGGGCAGGCAGGCCGGGGGCCAGATGGGGGTACAGAGTCCCCGGACCTGCTTTCAGAGTCAGGAGCTGGGATTGGTTCGGGTCACTCATCCAGGACTAGAAGTGGGCCAAGGAAGAGAGGACACAAGGACGGCTGCCAGACTTGAGGGTGGGCTGGCCGGAGGCCGTGGTTGGGATCAGAGCAAGCGGCAGGAGGAGGCAGAGGACAGCAGGCTATTTCGGTCCCTGTATTTAGGGACTTTTTATAGCTCCGCTGCTCAGAGCTGGGACGACAAGGAGGGGGTAGGAGGTACCCATGAGGTCAGGCCAGCACAGTGCCCTCCTGAGACCTTGGCTCTGATCAGTTAGCTGCTGGCTACAGTGTGGGAGATAGAGGGAGGGCACAGGCTCTTTGGGCTGCCTGGCTTGCCCATCACCAAAAACTTGTGCATTGGCTTACTAGAGACCAAGAGGGTACATGTCTAGAGAGGGGAGAGGAATGGTGTGTGTGTGTGTGTGTGTGTGTGTGTGTGTGTGCGCGCGCGTGTGCGCATTGGGGGGTGGGGTGGGCAGGGGTGGCAGGATCTCAGTCCCAAGCCTTCTCAAGGGGGCACTGCCACCGTTTCCTAGGTGAATTCTGTTCCTTTGTTGCCTCCAGATCCCAGATCTGGTGTTGCATTAGCTCCTGATATGTCCTTAAGTCTGTCTCAGCTGATGGGCTGAAGGGTGGATGGGGAACTGGAGGGCAAGGATGGGGTGGGGTGTGATGAGCCATGTGGGTGGCCCCTTCTGTTGCTGCCCACAGAACTGTCAGCTCCTGATTTACAGCTCCCTCAGCAGAAGGGGGGTGGAGGAGCAGGGTCACAGGGTGTCAGGAGGCGAAAAGAGCAGGGTCCCTGAGTGTAGATTTCTGGGAGCATAGGTTATATTTTTCTCTAAGGCCCACCCCAGAAAATTTAAGAGGGGCACCCAAGGACCAGTACCAGGGATTCGAGCCTGGTGGTTTGGTGCTTCCTGTGGTAATCAATGTTCAGCTGGCAGTCAATTAGCGGTCAACTAGCCCAATCTGGGGGCACAGGGCTGCACCAAGCATGTTTGTGGGGGATATAAGGTGCTGGGGAATCAAACTCTAAACACAAGGTGGGCATGTATGTGTTTCACCACTTACCTATCTCCCTACTCCCTAAGAGTGCCCATTACTGGGGAGAAGTTATGGGAAGTTTTGGAACCCTTCTTTAACAGAAATTGCTTGGTATTTCACAGGAATAGATGCAAAAATACCAGGGGTAAATTCTTCTAGGCAAGAGAGAGAACTGATTGGTACCAGCTCTGTGGAAACCAGGCACTCAGTGAGAGACACAGTTTCCAGATCTGGCTCCTATGTCCCATAAGACTCAGGAAGCCCCTTTGGGCGCATACCTCTTCTGTGAGAGGGAAACACAGGGGCAGACAAAGTGGGGTCTAGAGTTGGACACTTTGGAATTCCCAAGGCAGGGTCAGGGCCAGTGGCAGGTAGCTGGCAGACATGACCTGGTGACTACCGCCCCCTCCTTCCTTGATGGCCCTGCTGGGCCTGGGCAGGGCTACCGGCTGCAATTACTGGAGGCCGCTGCCCTGTGGTTCTATCCCTGACCTCAGCGCTGGAGGCGGGAAGGGTGGGTCCTCCAGGAGTCAGCCTGTGGCTGGGAAGCCTCCTCCTTGTCTTGGACTCAGAGTTGCTTGCTTGGAAAGAGGTATTTTTTCCGGTGGAAGCCACTTTCGAGAATTGAACAGTGACCAGTGCCATTTCCTTCTCCAAATGCCCTGCTTGCTGATGCCTCCTCAGTGAGCCCTGAGGCTCGATCAGGGCATCCTCAAAGGGGCATGTATTTCTGAGTAGCCAGCGAGCTCTGTAATGTCTTTGAGGGGATGGGAAAAGCCTCAGCCTCTGCTCAGGGTAAGAGACAGGCTGACTGAGGGGTGAGGGGTGGGGGCTGGCAGCAGGAATGAGGCAAAGACATCTACTTTCCGCATGACCATTCTTACTTCCCTGCAGATCCTGGGACGGCCAAAGTGTTCTCGGCTCAACTAGCTGCTTAAAGCCAGTGGCTTATGGGGCACTCTCCTGTCCAGCCTCACTAAGATGCTGCTGGGCTCTCCCTGCACCCCATCCAGGGGACGAACCCCCAGCGCCGTGGAGAGGTTGGAGGCTGACAAAGCCAAGTATGTCAAGACACACCAGGTAATAGCGCGACGCCAAGAGCCGGCCCTGCGCGGGAGTCCTGGACCGCTCACTCCGCGCCCCTTCAATGAGCTGGGACCCCCTGCATCGCCCAGGACACCCAGACCCGCCCGCCGTGGCAGTGGCAGGCGCTTGCCAAGACCTGACTCCCTCATCTTCTACCGCCAGAAGCGGGACTGCAAGGCTTCTGTGAACAAAGAGAACGCCAAAGGCCAGGGGCTGGTGCGGCGCCTCTTCCTGGGCTCCGCGAGAGACGCCACCTCCAGCAGCCCGGGCCCAACCGAGCGACCCGCAGCTCCCAGAGATTGGGCAGCGCCCCAAGATCCCCCGGAAGGGGCGGGAAAGCGGGAGCTGTGCCCCACGTGCTCGCTGCCGCTGTCGGAGAAGGAGCGCTTCTTCAACTACTGCGGCCTGGAGCGCGCGCTGGTGGAGCTGCTGGGCGCCGAGCGCTTCTCTCCGCAGAGCTGGGGTTCCGACCCCAGCCCCCAGCCCGGGACATCCCCTTCGCCCGGCTCCCGGGACACCAGCGACTGGACGTCCAGCGACGGCTGCACCGACCGACCCGACGGCGCGGACGACGGCGGCGGCGGTTCGGAGGCGGCGGGCTCGGCGCGGGACGGGCGCCCCCAGGTGTCGGTGGTGGAGCGCAACGCGCGCGTCATCCAGTGGCTGTACCGCTGCCAGCGCGCCCGCGGCCCGCCGCGCGAGTCCGAGGTGTGACCGCCGCCGTTCGGGAGCCCGGGGTCCGGGGAGGCGCATGGGGGTGCGTCCCGGGCTGGACCCGAGCGCAGGGTGCCTTTGGGAAAAGCCATTCGCTCTGGCTCTCCCGGGTGATGAGACCTGATGAGACCAAAGGATCCCGACGGCCCTTCCCGGGCCAGACTGAGGGAGAGGGTGGGGACGACCTCGAGGCTCCTGTGGAGGCCGGGTCGGAAGACTGAAAACTGGGCTGGGAAGGTGGAAAGCCTGCTGAATAAAGTCAAATTCTTTGCGCTCTTTTTTTTTTTTTTGAGGGTTCTTTTGGGGAGGGGGGGCGGGCACATCTGGCCATGCTCAGGAATTACTCCTAACTCTGCACTTAGGAATTACTCCTGGCTGTGCTCAGGGGGCCATATGGAGTGTCAGGGGTCGAGCTCTGGTCGACTGTATGCAAGGCAAGTCCCCTACCCGCTGTACTATGGCTCCGGCCGCTTGTACGGTTCTTGGAACAGCAGGCGAGGTTGGAAACGTTGCGGATAGCGCAGAGTGCGTTGCGTGGGCGCGCGCTGGGTTTTGAAGAGCAGCTGCGCCCAGTGGATCAAACTGTTGGGGAAACTCTTCGGGAGAGCTCCGGCAAAGGGAAGTGCTCCATAAACGGCAGCCAACCTGGCCGCTGCCCACTCGGTACTAACGCGGTTCTTACGTCTGTTCCACTGACCTTACGCTGGATCGTTCCAAACCAGCGCCGAGGAGCGGGAACTGTGCGTTTGAGTAGTTCTGGGGTCGGCTTCAGAAATCTGGACCCCTAAAGGACGCCCAGTTCCTGGCACTTTGCTGCCCTCTTTTGGTTACGAGGTACAAATGGCAGAGATACCAGGACAGGAAAAGGGACACGTCAAACCAGGATTTTTACCATTCTGTAGCCTCATAAACCAGCCACCCGCTTCCTTTGCTTCAGACACCAAGCCCAAGTCCCCCGTGTTCCTCGCACGTTCGCACCGCTGAGCCTGGCCGAGGGTCCTCTCCCTCCCTGGGGGTAGCGTCCCCTTTTCTTCATTCATTTTATGAATTGCATGTGTGCGTTCTCCCAGGAATTCATCCAGAGCCTGGATTAGCCTCACCTCCTCAGAGATCCCCAGTTTTCTTTTTGTTTTTTGTTTGGTTGTTTTTTTGTTGTTGTTGTTTGTTTTGATTTTGATTTTGGGGGAGTTGGGGTGGGGGTGGGCACATCCGGCGATGATCAGGGGTAATTCCTGGGGGATAACGGGAACCAAATGTAGTACAAAGTATCCAAACCAGACCGGTCGTGGGCAAGGCAGGCACCCTACCTGCGTTGCTGTCACTCCGGCCCGTTTTCGTGTCTAACCTGCCTGGTGTGGGATCTGCTGGGCAGCTCACACCATGGGGCCACTAGCCACATGTCGAATTGAGACTGGACATGGCGGTGCGCCCTGCCTCTGGGATTCTCTGCTTCCTGAAAAAGCTGTACCCACAAACAAACACCATCCTGTGCAGTCGCTGGTCATTTTCTCCCTATGCATGTTCGTGGTGGGGAGCGAGTTTCCCTCCAAATGCACCCCGTCCTGAGGCTGTCTCCCGAGAAGCAGCCTTCCGGTGGCCTCCCTGGACAAAAGTACGCTGTTACGCAGAGTGTGGGCCAAGGTTTTTATGGGGGTGGGCGTTGCCCAGTTCTGCTTGGGGAGGGGGGCCTGCTAGTCGCCCTTGGGTGCAGCCTTCACCCGCATCTCGGCCAGTTTGTGGGTGAGGAAGCCCCACTTGAAGCCGGCATTGGGGTCGGTCTCCCGCGGCTCCAGATGCTCAGCAGCCTCGGCAGCCGCCGCCTCGCTGGCGCATTCGGGCTCGGGCTCGGCGGGCTCCGCACCGCGCAGCATCGCCGCCGCCGCCGCCTGCTGCTGCTGCCACCTACTGGCGAACGCGTCCCAGAATCCGGGCCCGCGCGTCTCGGCCTCCGGCGCCGCCGCCTGCGAGGGGGGCCGCGCCGCCAGCGGGCTGCGGGAGACCGCAGCGAGTCAGGGCGGAGGGGAGCAGGTGGGGTCCAGGGGTCCGGGAAGCCCTAGCGGGGTCAGGTAGACCTGGGAGCTGGGGATCCCCGCAGTAGGGCAGGGGTTCCCGGCCGGAAAGGGGGGCCATCAAAGGATTAGAGGTGAGTGTGGGAGGAGAGGGGCACGGGCCCTGGAGAGAGAGACCCAGGGTAGAGACTTGCCCGGAGGAGGACGAACCCCAAAGCCCGGGTCTGGGAAGCTGGGCGGAGAAGCCCACTGCGAGGCGGGGGAGAGCAGGGTCGAGTGGGGCGCCCAGGGGATGGGATCTCGGGGCGGGGCCTGGGGTCAGCCTGGGGAAAGAGGTGAGGTGGGCACTGGGCCACTTCTGGATGGAGGAAAAGGGAGACCAGGAAAATGAGGGAATTTGGGGGGAAAAGGACAGGTGGTACGACCCCCCAGGGAAGAAGAAAATCAGAGAATTTGGGGAGAAGGGACTGGGGAGCTAGCGTGATGTCTGGGGAAGGGCAATCAAGGAAGGGCCCAGTTTGTTGAAAGCTAGGAAGGAAACTTGGAGGGCCGGAAGGAAGGAAGGTGAGAGAGATGGGGGAGGCACCAGAGGGGAGGAAGGAATAGAGGAGCATCAAAGGGTGTGAGGGTAGAGATGGAACTAGGAGGAAGACAGGAACCAACCTCCCAGCTTCAGCCCTCAGACTGTGGTTCATTCCCAAGCTAAGGCACTTGCTGAAAATACCGATCTCAGGCCTCTGCCAGCACTTGTTGAATCAGCCTGGGAAGCTCAAAACTTCCTGGAGGAAAGGGTCCAGACCAGTATGTGAGAACCACTAACCTAAGCACCCTCTCCTCCAAACTCCTACAGGTTTTCTAGTCCATTCCTTGATCTAAGGAGATGATCCCTCCCACGTGGCTGGGGGGTGGGGGTGGGGAGAGCCCTGTAATACCTCAATCCTAACAGCTGGCAAATTCCTCCTGAGATCCAACCTAATCTCTCAGATTTGCTGATTTGGCCTCTTTCCTGAAACAAACAGCTTGGGGGACTGGCTCTACCCACTGGATAGAAAGACAGGCAGCCAGATGGAAAGAACAGAGAAGGGAGGGTGGGGGTTCAGGTCTATACTAACCCCCCAGTTTTCCCATCCCCCACATACTGGTCAGCACAGGACTCCTGTGGCAGCAGTTTGTCCTCATCTTCTTTGTTGAACAGAGATGACATTGTCAGCCAGCCTTTCACCCCAACCCCCTGAACCTAGGAGGAATTGTGAGTCAGGCAAGGGACCCAGCATCCCACCGCAAACCCCCAGCCCTCAGCCATCTGGCCGGGCTCACAGAAGCCTCTGTGAGGCCCCACAGCATGGGATGGAAGAAGGAATGAACTTACCCTGCGGGCCAGCTGTGACATGGAACTGAAGGCCTCTTCAGTGGGTTCTGCCGCCTCAGGTTCCACTAATGCTGGGCTCTCCCTCTGAGACACAGTGTGAGAGGGGATCCAGAGGAAGGGGACTTCCCTCCTCCATTGATAGCCGTATGCACCCTCCAGCACCCCATCCCCATGGAACTATGCACACAACTAGTCACCTCTAACCCTGCATACAAGGTTATACCAGAATTGGGGCTGGGGTGATAGTACAGAGGGTAGGACACTTCCTTTGCATGCAATTGGCCAGAGTTCAATCCCTGATACCCCATATGGTCCCTTGAGCTCTATCAGGAGTGATTCCTGAGCACAAAGTCAAGAGTAAGCCCTGAGCACTGCCAGATGTGAATCTACAATTTAATTTTTTTAAAGGCCATACAACAAAGGAATACTTGCACAGAAAGCTGCCAGTCACAATTACCTTCAGAGTAAGGTCTTGAAGACTCCCCTGAGCATGATACCAGCCTGCCCCATTCACCCCTACACCCCCCAAAACAAACAGACCTGCCAATGTAGATGTACCTAAAATAAGGGCATGCCTCCATTTGGTTGCGGCTCTTTCCCTTTCCATATGTATTCATGCTGTGAAGCACCACACGTGGTGAACCACTCAGACATATGCTGCTTCAGACACTTGCCCAGAGGCCCACCACAACACACAGAGCCTACATCTACCAGTCACCAAGACTCAGATGTATGACATTCCCAGAGCACCTACTTGCACATAATTATGCCCACTTCACACCTGTATATACATCTTCCCTGGGGATCTCACATAGACCAGATTCCAATCCAATACGACCCACGGATACAAGATACTTCTGCATAAGCCCAACAAGATACCACTTGTTTAGACACAGACTTACACACACACACACACACACACACACACACACACGTACCTAGTACCTATACTAGCCACAACTTCACTTTTTCTGAAGCTGCCACTTATAGTAGCTTGTGATGTAAGACTGTTCCCAGGTTCAGAGACTTTTCCATTGTCATGTCAGAACATACACATGGAAGGGATCACTCTGTTCGGGGTCATACATGGCTGTGCTCAGGGCTTACTCCTGTCTCTAAACTCAGGGATCACTCCAGACAGGGCTTTGGGGATCATATGGGGTGCAAAGAATTGAACCCAGATTGCCTGTGGGTGAGACAAGCGCCCTGCCTGCTGTACTATCTCTACAGGAAGGACCATTCTGATCTGATCTTTCTACAGTGACCCCGAGAGTGCAGGTGCCACTTCCCTCCCCCTGGTACCAGGATGCTGACTTTCTTCCAAAGCAAGGCACCCCACTGCTGCTATTAGAAAGTTAATGTTCCCCTGTGGCTATTGTCCTCTAGTTCTAAAAAGATATCTTCCTGGAGGCAGCCCTTGAGATCCGTGGAGAGGCAAAATATAACTTTGAGGCTCTTAAGTCTTCTTGCCGGTTTTCTTGACTCTCCTACTTGTCATAACTGAAGAAATGTGCCACCTGCTTCCACACCAATATGCCTCTCCATATCTCTTGCCAGACCCTTTACAGCTGTCACCTCTGCTGTCCCTCTGCCCATGCTCCACCTAGCAGATGTAGATGATACCCACCTCCTCTGCCAGGTCTTCTTCAGATTCCCCACTCAGGGTCTGCAGAACTTTGGACTTGTAGGTTTTCCAGAAGGCCTGGTTCATGGCTGTCAGGGAAATGGCCTGGCATCCAGGTGCTAGAAGGTCTCAGAGGTTCAGTGGGCATTCAGTGGTTCTGCCTCTGGGAACTTGGTGAGGCCAAGAGCTTGTTCCAAGGATCAGGTGACTTCATTAAAAATGCACGAGCCACCCCAACTGGCAAAGTGCCCAGCAGATGAACCCAATCCCAAGCAGTCTGGGAGAGATGGGAGGGACAGAGCAAGCTTCGGCTGCCTCTACCCTTTGCTTTGACCCATATATAAGCCACAAATAATGAAGACACCTCTCCACGGCCTCCTTCCTGGACCTAGAAATACTTGAATTTGATCTCTTGGAAAGGCTCCAGACAAATTCTCTTCCATTCACAAAGTCTGTTTACAGAGTCTCTGGGCCCTCAACCCACACTGGTGGCCCTGGGACTAGTCATACCAATTGTACCCTGGCAGATCCCTGCCCCATGTCTCTGCTCAGCTGTGGGAATCAGAGTGGGAGGTCCCTAGACCCTTGGTGGGCCCTGGGCTTACATTTCATTGCTTTGTCTGGGCTGGAAACTGATTCCTCTCCCCAGGGATGCACGTGCCAGCCTCCCTGTTTCCTGGCAACAGGTTCCAATGAGTTGCAACCCCTGAATTATTGCTGAACCCCTGTGGTCAGCCTACAAGGCCCCAGGCTCCTGAGGACTAGGAAAGACACTCTTACCCTCTCCCCACTGTTTCTGCTATCAGTGCCCGTGGAGCAAGGGTGAGAGTGTGTGACACGGTATGGACCGGACCACCGTCTGCATAAGGAGCAAAGAATGAGGAGCAAAATGGACAGGCAACCTGTGCACCTGACCTCAGGACATAGCTCCTTGCCCTCACTGATCTGGCCAGGGGTGGACCGATGCAGGAGAGCCGCGGGATTAACAGGGACGCTAAGGAATGGTGAGGATTTTGTCAGGAACCGAGGTATCTCGGGAAGCTCTGTGGGTGTCAGGATTTCAAACTCATCCATTCTCATTCCTTTTGACCTTTATTCACTTCACATTTTTCAGCGCTTCCCACAAGTGGTTGAAGATTAAGCAAATGACTAAAGGTAAAGCATGCCCCTCCCTCCACCTCCACCGCAGGGTCCAAGATCCCGGAGCCGGAAGGGGGAGTAAGGAGCAGAGGATGGGGACCTCGGGCGGGACCCAGCCACCCACCCACACAGTCCTCACGAGCTTGCTGGACCCCGCGCTCCGTCACTGACACCGACAGCCGCTTGGGGGCGCGCAAAACGCGGCTAGGCGAGTGACGTCATCAGAGGCGGTCGGGCTGAGCCTGCTCCGCCCCCCGGCGTCTCGTGACGCAATCGGAGACCACGGAAGCGTGTGCACGTGTGTTCGCTGCTGGTTTGTGGATCCCTGGCCGGGTGCTCTAGGTCATGGGTCGCTCCCGCCGCACTGGAGGGCACCGAGCACACTCCCTGGCCCGCCAGATGAAGGCGAAGCGGCGGCGGCCGGACCTGGACGAGATTCACCGCGAGCTGCGGCCTCAGGCTCCTGCACGAACCCAGCCTGACCCGGCCGCCGCGCCCGACCCGGACCTGCCAGGGGGCGGCCTGCATCGCTGTCTGGCCTGCGCGTGAGTTCCGGCCCGGCCAGAGAAGGGGCAGCGGTACGGACTCGGGATGTGACGTCCGGGTCCCGGGCCGCGCGGGGTCTGCTCTCCTGGGACCCTAGGGTTCTGCCCACCTCCCATCCCTTCTGGCTGGGGCGTGTCATCAGGGAGTTCAGTGAGATGATGATGGGGAGATGGGCACACCCAAGGGACCTCACCTCCTCACTCTGCTTACCACCCATCCCTGCAGGAGGTACTTCATCGATTCTGCCAACCTGAGGACCCACTTTCGATCCAAAGACCACAAGAAAAGGTATGTAGGAGAAGGAGAGGATAAATGGATGGGGATGGGCAGGGCTGTCATCTGGTCAGCTTCCGACTCCTATTCTTCTTTCTTGTAGGCTGAAGCAGCTGAGCGTGGAGCCCTACAGTCAAGAGGAGGCCGAAAGGGCAGCGGGTATGGGCTCCTATGTGCCCCCCCAGCGGCTGGCCGTGCCCACAGACGTGTCCACTGATATTCCTGAGATGGACACATCTGCCTGACATCGCCTGAGGATGCACAGCAGAGGAGCTGCCCATGGACAGGGGTGCAAGGGCTGGGAGAGATTGTCAAGTTCTTTTGACCCTGGATTCGGAGAATGGATCCTTTTCTGGGTGCCTTCCCCACCAATAAAGGAACTGGGTGAAGAAGGTTTGCTTCTGACTGAAAACTCCAGCTCCCTGGACTTCTGGGTACAGGTCCCAAGGGGGTTTAATCCCCACAAGCCCCAGCTTTGGAACTGCTTCCTTTTCTTACCTCAGGGGTCATGACATCTGAAACATCTGAACTGGGGGCTCTAGGGGAGCCCAAGTACAGTGGGGATAGTGGGGAGGGAAGTAGAATCAGGCTGATACCATTCTGTTTATGATAAAGACAGGATAGAGACCGACTTAAGAAAAGAAGGGGGCTCCCCAGACTCAGCCCTCCGAATCACCTACCACCAGAGCCCAGATTCGCCGTGGGCCTGTGACTGCCGCTGCTGCTCCATCATCTTCCAGACGGCATAGCAGGAGCTACTCAGCCCAAGCACAGCCAGCAGTGTAGCCGTCAGGCCAGCCAGTGGGCGCCGGGGCTCTGCCTTTAGCTCCCCGTCTACTTGCATCTGGGGGAACACAGAGTCACCCCCAGAAGTCAGTTGATACTTCAGTGGAGTGGGAGGTGGGAAAGGGTTAAAGGTACAGGCTTTGCGAAGGAGATGTGGACACCACTGTGCCCCAGGGAGAGGCCACCCCAATCCCTCTCGCTTCACTGCCCATTTGGGCCTTGACTGTTCAGGCGGCAGAGAATGTGGCAGCCTTGCTATTGTGGGGCACCAGTCCCTCCCTATAGGGGGAGGGAAGAGCCCATGCAAGAAAACTTAGGGAGGGGGCTGGAGCAATAGCACAACGGGTAGGGCGTTTGCCTTGCACGCGGCTGACCCGGTTTCGATCCCCAGCACCCCGTAAGAAATTCCCCCAGGCAGCACCAGGAGTAATTCCTGAATGCAGAGCCAGGAGTAACCCCTGAGCATAGCCGGGTGTGACCCAAAAAACAAAACAAAAAAATCCAATAAAATTACTTTAAAAAAAAAAGACTTGGGGCTGGAGCTATAGCACAGCAGGTAGGGCGTTTGCCTTTCACTCAGCCAACATGGCCGACCCAAGTTCGATTTCTCCACCCCTCTTGGAGAGCCTGGCAAGCCACTGAGAGTCTCGCCCGCACGGCAAAGCCTGTCAAGCTCCCCGTGATGTATTCAATATGCCAAACACAGTAACAACAAGTCTCATGATGGAGATGTTACTAGGCCCGCTAGGCCAAATCGATGAACAACGGGAGGACAGGGACAGTGACGGATACTTAGTGGGTTTTGTTCGGTTTGGGGGCACACCCAGCTGTGCTCAGGGCTTACTCCTGTGCAGGATCAAGCAGTGTGCCATGGATTGAACGCGGTTCAGTTGTGCACAAGGCAAGTGACATGCCCTGTACTATCTCTACAGCCCCAGGGATACTTATTTTTTTTTGTTTTGGATCCATACCCAGTTGTGCTCAGGGGTTACTCCTGGCAATACTCGGAGGACCATATGCAGTGCATGATCGGTTGCATGCAAAGCATGCATGCAACCCCCAAACCATCTCTTTCCAACCTTATTTAGAGGTACTTACCTGGAGTAAACGGTAGTAGCCAGGAGTGAAGCATCGAAATCGCATGGTGGGTGCCACAAGTCTTCTGGCTAGAAGGAATGAGGACGAGATGTTCCTGGTAGAAAGAAGCAGAGTTGAGCCACAAAGGTGCCTGGCTGCTCGTCAGCGTGAGAGCGGCAGCCTCAGGATGCTCACCAGTGACTGCCCTTCCAGGTCTGGCATGGGCGGGACAGCTGAACCTTTAAATCTGGTCCCTCCTACCCGCCCTCCCCGCCCTGCTGGCCTCAGGAGCAGCTGTCAGAAGAGATCAGCATCAGGCCTGAGCAGCGCCTCCCCCACACACCAGTGGTGAGGCTGGAGATACAAGGAGACCTTGCCTAGCAGCAGTCAGTGGGAGTCAGGTGGGGTTCTCCAGCCTGGCCTGGTCCTATCACCATCTCTGTTGAATGTCCCAGTGACTCTCAGCAAGTATTAGAAGGGTACCTTTTTAGCCCTTCTCTCCAAACTTCTTCATTTATCTATATTCTGTAAGGTCAACCATCTATACCTTGGAGCATCTTTTATTTTGGGGCCACACCCATTGCTGCTCGCAAGCTACTAGAATGCGTGAGGATTACTCACAGAAGTTCTTTGGTGGTGGTGGGCGGGGGTTGCATGTGATAAAGTATCAGGTATCAAACCTGGGGCTCCTGCAAGCAAAGTGTGTGCTGTAGTCCTATGAGATGCCTCCTGGTTCTCATATTTCACCTCTTGTTTGTTTTGGGCCACACCTGACTGTACTCAAGGCTTACTCCTGGCTCTAAGCTCAGGGATTACTACTGGCGATGCATGGGGGACTGTATGGGATGCTGAGGATCTAAATGCAAGGCAAGTGCCCTACCCACTGTGTACTCTCAATCTGCCATGTTTCACCTCTTAACCTAACATGGAGTTCCAGCAGGGACTTCTCTACCCTTGGGGACAGCAATAACAGGTGATCTGCATATGCTGATTAAGGAAGTTATGTAGGCTGGGAATGTAGGTCAATGGCTGAACAAAGGTCAGGCATGTATGAGGCCCTTCCAGAGCCCCAGCATCAAGTTGTGGGGAGAGAAAAAGCTGTGTGATGTGCTGAAATAGACAAATAGTAGCTGGCTGCCAGGCATAATGCACATTATTCTAAGCACTTTACATGTATTATGCCATTTGGTATTAGATATATCAAAAATGAAAAGAAAAAGGGAACAGATGTGCAGAATAATATGTAGAGTATATAGAAAATGGAAAAACACCCAAAACTTGATAGTAACCCAATGGGGAGTGGAATAGGGACATGGGAGTAGGGGATAGCCTTTTTTTTTTTTTTTTTTTTTTTTGCTTTTGGGTCACACCTGGCGATGCACAGGGGTTACTCCTGACTCTGCACTCAGGGATCACTCCTGGCAGTGCCTGGGGGACTCTGTGGGATGCCAGGGATCAAGCCTGGGGTAGGTCATGTGCAAGGCAAATGCCCTACCATCTCTACTATCACTCCATCCCCATAACATTTTTACAGCAAATATGGAGAAATAAAACTGAAAACCATTCTCCCAATCTTCCAGTAGCATTTGCTGACTCCTCACCTGCCAGGTGCTGGGGCAGTGTAGAGGCTTGTGATTGTTGGGCCCCACTCCCCTTAGCAGAGTTAAGTGGCAAGCTCTTGTCTTTCTCCCCTGCAGAACTGAGTATTCAAGGAGGGCAGAAGCTGGCTGGCTGGGTTTTCACCATTAAATCTTGTACCAGCACAGAAAAATGTTTGATGAGATCAGGTTGGTGGGAACAGGTCTGTCCTGGACTTCCCTGGAGAGTTACAGGGGGCTGTTGCAGGAAGAAGCAAAGTATTAGAGGAGGACAGTATGGTGGACTGTGCTGGAAGGATATAGTACAAGGTATGAGAATGGGAGGCAGTCAAGGAAACGCAGCCTGTATTTAGAGTCTGATAGTTGACAATGAGGATGCAAGACCTGCTGAGACTCTTGATGGGAGTAGCCGGATAAAGTGGACTCGTGTTTGACGACTGGATAGGCTCTCCAGAGCTGGCTAAATGCCAGAGAATCCAATTTATATACAAAATAATGACTGAACACTACAGAGACATCTGTAGGCTGAATTCAATTTGGAGTATTTTTAGTTTTGTTTGGGTGGGGGTAATATATTTGGTGGGGTTCAGGGGCTACTCCTGGCTTTGCTTTGGGGTCACTTCTGGAGGTGCTTTGGGAACCATGTGGTGGCTGGGATTAAACCCCAGAGCCCTCTTGCATGCAAAGCCTCTTGAGCTATTTTTTCAGCCTTCCAATTCAGACTTTTGGCCTCTTGGTCTATGGGAAAGATGGCAGTAGGCTTTGAAGGCTGGGTCCTGTGACACTGGCAATGATTCTGAATTAGGTAACACAAAGCCTGGAGTCTGGGAAGGTCTTCTTGAATCAAAACAATTAAATTAAACCAATAATCTAACATGCTATAGAGTTCAAGATATTTAAAGGCTATCCTTATAGCACTGAGGTCTAGGTGTTCCTCTTTTAGAGGAAAAGGTTCAGAGAGGTGTAACAGTTGGACTCACATAACAATTGAGACAGAATCCAAATTCCTGGCAGTTCTGTGTCCTGGGATAATGATAAATGAAACAGTTCCCTAGCATTTATCAGCATTTGGTAATAGTTAAAACAAATGTTTTAAGACTAATTGCCCCCTCCCTATACACACACACACACACACACACACAAAAAAAAAACACCTAAAAAACAAACTACAGTGTCTTCTCAACAATTTCTCACTTCACCAATCATTTCTAGTTGGAGATACCTTGGAACAGAGAAATATCTCCTTTTAGCATGATCTGACCTAGCTGTTTCCTTGACTTTGTTTTTGAATGAATCTCTTCTGCATCATCTAGTATGAGGTTCATATACTCATTAAAATCAATGATACAGCCCTCTACCCACATATTTACTTGCTCAGAAAGCCACACCTGGATCTGAGATCTGTTTTGCAAGTATCTGAAGATGAGGTTGATGGGTTGCACTGTCACCTTCGGCAGTTTTGCACCATAGCCCTGGCCACAGTGCACCTTGATGGAAGCTCATGGAGACCACCTGACAACAATATTAGATAACTGCAAACACTCAGGATGTGTCAGACATTGTTCCAGATAGTCTCTTAATTAGCAGCTCAGAATTCAGGGTATCACCTGATCCTTAGTTTGGGGGCTGGAGACATAGTATAAGGGTTTGATTCCTGGTACCGCATATGGTTCCCCAACATGGCCGGGAGTAACCCCTCAGTGGCAACTGAGTTAAAGCAGAATGACAGCACACTGATGTTAGGGAAGAAGGATTTATGTTACTAGTCTAATATCAATAGACATATTACTGTACCATAAACTCATACTTAAATATTGAGGGCCAGGAAGATAGCTTTACAGGCAGAGCAGGTGCCCTCCATGTGGTATTCCCAGAGTGAACACACCCCCAGCACCACCAGGAGCAAACTCCCAGCACTACTGGTTGTGGCCCCCAAAAACCAAACCAGTTGACTAGTAAGTCTTCTGAGAAAGTCTTCTGTAGGCCTCACCAGACTGCCAGAAGGATCACCATGCAGAATCACAGAGACTGGAAGCCCTGGTTGGAAGCTGCTACCTTGGGTACTCTCTAGTGCAGCCCGAAATAGTGACAAATACTCTGGAGCCCGGCAGAGCACTGCTCACACAGCTAAGCTGTTGCAGCTGTGCTGGGTTTGTTCCCCACCCCCCCAACCCCCCCTCCGCCCCTCCCTCCAGCTCCCTAAGCTCTACTCTTTGCTGCTGCATTCACTGCTCTGTGGCTTCCTTTTGGGGGTTAGGGGGCCCTTGGGGTTTTTGGCCACACCCCGCGGTGTTTTGGGGTTACTCCTGGCTCTATTGAGGATGAGAGTAGAGCGTGGGGGCAGGAGATCCAACCCTGGTCGGCTGCATAGAGAGCAAGTTCCTTAACCCCTGTACTATATCTGGGCCTGGTGGCCCCCCTTTTGAGGAGCCTCAAAGTCAGAGTTCTGCACTGTCACTTTAGGCTAGTCCTGGGACCCCAGTTTGTCTCTGAGGTCGCCTGGGTCACCCACGAATGGTGCCGCCCAGGGGCGAGGCTGCTCCGCTCCGTTGGGATGCATGAGGGTGGGACAGGAGACGGACAGGTGTTGGGCCAATGGCTGGTTGCCGACCTCACCTGGCCAGTGACGTGAGCCCAGGTAGAGCGGTGGCTCCGCCCAGGGCCCGACCCGGACCCGCCCAGGCTGGGCTCTGGGAGCGGAAATTCCTACGCCGGCGGGACGGAACGGCGCCCAGCCCGCCGGAGAACTTGGCCATGGAGCCGGTCGCGACCTGGACCCCCACGAAGGTGGCAGCTTGGCTGAGAGGTGGGTGGGTCGTGCGGAGCTGGGCTGGAGCGAAGCTGGGACGGGCAGAGGAAAAGGAAAATGGACCTGGCGACTTTATCAGTTGGTTGGTCAGCAACAAATGTTAGTAAGCGCCTGTCATGGTGCTCAGAAGAGAGAAAAGTCCTCCCTGAGGACCCAGATGGGGGTGTCCCATCACCCCAGCATCTCCAGAAGTTCACAGGGTGGCGTAGGGAGGGAGCAGTTGCGCAATGAAAACAGAGGGGCCCACGCCCACTTAATCGCCTTCATCTTCCTCTGCCCCGGGGCCCAGTGGGTTATTAAACTCATGTTTTGGAAACAGGCTCAGACTCCCCGGCCCAGGAATGGCTGTACCCAAACCTCAAAACTGGACCTTCCGTGGAGCCCAGGCTCCCAGTGAGACAGCTAGAACTCCAAGCCTCAAAAGCGGGGGTCTTAGAACAGATTTACCCTGGGGGCCTCCGAAAGAGATGCTGTGAGCTCAGATTGTATCTACTTAAGGTCCCCGGACCTGACCAGCAGCTGGGAGGGCATTCCTCCCCAGGGACAGCAGAAGTCTGCCAGAACTAGCTCGGGTGAGCAGCCTGGTGAGAGCAGGGATTTGGGTGGGTGCCAGCCCGTACCAGCTATGTGGCCTGCTTTCCCTCCCCACGGAATGAGGGGTGGCTGTACTTGTAGAGAAAATGAGGCCACGCTGGCAGGTGCCTAGGTGCCCCACTCAGTGTGGGGCCCTTTTAAGAGGGAGCAGCAGAGCCACAGAGTGTTATATTTGAGAAAGGCGTTGCTTGAGCATCCAAAGCTATGGAGTAGCAGGTTGGCAGACTCCCATTCCAATGCTCTTCAGGGCCCATAGGGAAAATGGGGGAAGCTCTTGATCACACATCCATTCCCAGTGAAGGAACCTGACTTGGGAAGGGAGGAATTCCTCCGAAGAGGGAGCAAGGGGCCTGGGATGTAACTTAGTGTCAGAGCAATTGCTTTGCATTCCTGATACCCTGAGTTTGATCCCTGGCATAGAAAAAAAAAAGTTAACAGTTTGAGCCAAAGAAATAATTCAAAGGGCTAGAGGACATGTTTTGTGTGTGGGAGGCCTCTGTTCAGTCCCTGGCATTGTGGATCCCCTGAGCACTGCCAGGTGTGGCACAAAAACAACCCAGTGAACAGTCTACTTAACCTTATATCAGTTTTCCCATCTGTAAAATGGGGATAACAATAGTCCCTAACTCCTAGCAGTGAGGATGAAATGTATTATTATCCACAAAGCCCTTAAAGTTCGGCCACTTCAGGGCTGGAGCGATAGCACAGCGGGGAGGGCATTTGCCTTTCACATGGCTGACCCGGGTTTAATTCCCAGCATCCCATATAGTTCCCTGAGCACCTCCAGGGGTAATTCCTGAGTGCAGAGCCAGGAATAACCCCTGTGCATCCTCGGGTGTGACCCCAAAAGCAAAAAATCAATACAAATTTAAAACAAAAATAAAGTTCAGCCACTTCATAAATATTCAGTAGATTTTTTTTTTCCTTTTGGCTTTTTTGGGTTACAGATCAGGGATCATTCCTGGCTCTGCACTCAGGAATTACTCCTGGTGGTGCTTGGGGGTCTCTATGGGATGCTGGGGATCAAACCCGTGTAAGCCGCGTGCAAGGCAAATGCCCTACTTGCTGTACTAAAAGCTCCCTCAGTAGACTTTTCTTCTGTTGTGTCTACTGCACTGGTCCTCAGGTAGAGGGTGGCAGAGGCACAGTGTGCAAGGGGGAGTGAGAGAGAGCCCAGCCTAGCTCTTGGGGACTTGTTGGGAGTATAAGAAGCAGTGAAGGAGCTGGGAAGATTTCACAGGCAGAAGGTAAAGCATATGCTTGGATGCTGAGACAAGAGTGTCCCGAAGCACCTGGAGTTGGTACCTGGAGTCTGAGAGCCCTCAGATGAACTGGAGAGGCAGGTGGTGGCCTAATCAAACAGGGCCTTGTAGATCATGGTGAAGACTTGGGAATAATAAAATGGTTGTTACTGACCATCTGTACTAAACCAGGCAAAGAGCCATGTGCTTGTAATGTATTGTGTTATTTAGTACACGCATGATTGGCGGGGGGTGCATTATTGTCTTCATTTTACGGGTGAAGAAACTGAGATCTCTGCTCAAAGGTTAGTATTCAAGTCTCTCTGACTCTAAAACCCTGACCCTTAATTCTCATATTGGTAGTTCTTTGATGCTTCACCGAGCAGCAGAACAGCTGGGGGAGTTGTTAAAACACAGATTATGGGCCTTGCCCGTGAGTTCTGAATCAACAGGTGTGAGGTATGGTGAAGAATTTGTATTCCTTCTGTATTGCAAACCTCAAAAGGGGTGGGAGAGAGAAAGAAGAGAAGGAAAGAGGCATATAGAAGGCAAGTGCCTGCTCTAGAGACAGGCTGGGGAGGAGGGGGTGGCAGGAGGGAAACTGGGGACATTGGTGGTGGGAAATGTGCACAGTGGAGCGATGCGTATTTTGGAACATTGAATGACTGAAACCCAACATATAGCTTTGTAACTATATCTCACGATGATTCAATTTTTTTAAAAAAAGAAAAATTTGTATTCCTGGGGGACTGAAGCAATAGTACAGTGGGCATGCCGGGAACTTGCCTGGCATGCCGTTGACTTGGGCTCAATCCCCAGCACCTCATATGGTTCCTTGAGCCCACCAGGAGTGATCCCTGAGTGCAGAGCCAGAAGTAAACCCTGAGCACAGCATGGGTGTGGGAGAAAACTAAAAAAAAATTTTTTTTAAAGAATTTTATTCCTGGGGCTGGAGAGATAGCGCAGTCGGTAAGGTACTTTCCTTGCAGCAGCCAATCTGGGTTTACTTTCCCAGAACCTGATGTGATCCCCTGAGCCCCACCAGGAATGATCCCTAAACGAAGAGTCAGGAGTAAGCTCTGAGCACTGCAGAGTGTGGCCCTCCAAAAAAGAATTCATGTTCCTAGCAAGTGCATTGAAGTTGCCTCTGTAGATCCACATTTGAGAGCCATGGACTAATCTTTTTTGTGTTTTTGGTGGTGCTGAAGATCAAACACAGGACTCATACAGGTTAGGCTTATGCTTTACCATTCCTGGCCCCCATCTGATGTTGATGGGGGATGCTTGGTGCCCTGGAAAACGTGCAGTGCCAGCGATCAAACACATGCCAGCCCTGTGGGTTCTCTCCACTACCCTACTCTCCTATTAACTGAGTAGCCTCATTTGTGAAATGGGTCTTGGGGACCCATAGCCTGGATCTCAGGATTGCTGTCAGGAACAGATGGGAAGGAGAAGCAAGAATTGTCCTCAAAGTCCTTTCCCCCTGCCACCCCGCTCCTCCCCTCAGGCCTTGATGACTGCCTGCAGGACTATCCTTTTGAGGACTGGAAGCTATCTGGCGATCACCTGCTTCAGCTCAGCCCCCGCAACCTTGAGGCTCTGACTGTGCGGCCTCTGGGCCACCAGGAGATCATCCTGGATGGGATAGAACAGCTGCGGGCCCTGGTAAGTGATTGGACTCCCCCAACTCCCCCCAACACACACACCCCTGGGAGTTGCCTATGGGGGGCTGGCTGCTGCCAGAAAGGTGACTGCCCTTCTCTGGGACAGAGCTCGGGGCTGCAGACGGAAAACCTGCTGAGCCTTACCCAGGGGCTGCTGGAGGGGACACAGACCTTCCAGAGCTTAGTACAAGGCCGCCTGGAGGACTATGCCGAGCCCCCCGATGATGTGCTCAGCTCAGCTGTGGAGGTGGTACATGAGGCCCGGAACCTTCTCTTCTGGCTCAAGAGGTATCTTAGGCTTCTCCCAGGGCTTGGGGGAACCTTCCCGTCCTTGGCCTTCTCCAGGATCCAGCAGAGGAAAACAGCTTGACTCTCATTCACAGAAAGTAAATTAGGGTCAAAGATTAGTTGAGTCTGGGCAGGGACACTGTGACACCTAGGTTCCCCCTCAAGCCCCAAACTGTAATCATAAGTCATATTAACAATGCTAAAAAGAGAGCTTCTTTATCCCCTTCACTGACTGCTGCTTATCTCACTGTTTCCAACTCAAATGTCACCTCCTCAAGGAAGCCTTCCCTGTTATACCCTCAGAGCTCCCTCCGTTTCACAGTGATTAAAGTGAAATTATGATTGGTATAATTATGTGTTTAAGTGTCTGTCTTCCCTATTTTCACACAGCAGGTCCTGGCACATTCTAGGCACCTGGCAATTTAATCTTGTGTGAATTCTTTCGCTGTATCAAGCATCTCCTTTACCCCCAAACTAAACCCACCAAAGCAAATATCCCCAAGTCTCAGATGGCCTTGTAATGACTTTAACGCATAATTCCTGGGCCAGAGCAATTCAATCCTCTGCACCCTTTATGGTCCCCAAGCCCACCTACAGTGATTCTGGAGCACAGAGTCAGGAGTAAGCCCTGAGCACCACCAAGTGTTCCCCACCCCACCCCCAATTAAATAAAGCACAGTTCCTTAACCTATGCTCTGTCCTTCCCCCTGCCAGGTACCTCTTTTCTCACTTAAATGACTTCTCCGCCTGCCAGGAGATTGAGGAGTTGTGCAGGAACCTGAGCCAAGTCTTGCAAGAGGTAGGAGAACTGGGCGAGGGTTGGCCCGGGCTGTAGAGACCAAGTCAGTCCAGAGCTTTTTATAACCTGTGAATCAGCAGAGACGAGGGAGATGGCACAGAGGCCTGCTGTTGGGTACGGAGCTGCTGGGACAGGGGCCTCCCAGCTAGCTGGGGTAACTCATGAAGTTTGACCCCCTGGAGGTGGGCAGGCATGTGCGGCGACTTCAGGTGATATCAGGGCATGCGTCCCTGGAGCTAAAACTCGCAGGTTTTGTAGTTCTGGAAGGTGGGGCAGGGTTGAGAGGCCCAGAAGGACTCAGAATTCAGCCCTCCGTCAGGGGAAGGCAGACCCCTTTTTCTCATGATAAACTCTGGCTCTC